TTGTGGAAGCCACCTCCATCCGTAACTTTAAGGCCAGATTCGACAAAGAATTTAAAAGTCAGAGGAATTAAGTTGAAAGCCAACAGCAGCAGCAGCAGCAGCAGCAGAAGGTAGAAAGGCAGCAGCAGCAGCAGCAGAAGGTAGAAAGGCAGCAGCAGCAGCAGCAGCAGAAGGTAGAAAGGCAGCAGCAGCAGCAGAAGGTAGAAAGGCAGCAGCAGCAGCAGCAGCAGCAGAAGGTAGAAAGGCAGCAGCAGCAGCAGCAGCAGAAGGTAGAAAGGCAGCAGCAGCAGCAGCAGCAGAAGGTAGAAAGGCAGCAGCAGCAGCAGCAGCAGCAGCAGCAGAAGGTAGAAAGGCAGCAGCAGCAGCAGAAGGTAGAAAGGCAGCAGCAGCAGCAGCAGCAGCAGAAGGTAGAAAGGCAGCAGCAGCAGCAGCAGCAGACGGAGCATGCAGAGCTAGATCTCACTCCCCAGTAGACACTGGTGGCTAAGTACTGGTTATCTTGAGATGTTATCTTGAGATGATTTCGGGGCTTTAGTGTCCCCGCGGCCCGGTCCTCGACCAGGCCTCCACCCCCAGGAAGCAGCCCGTGACAGCTGACTAACACCCAGGTACCTATTTTACTGCTAGGTAACAGGGGGCATAGGGTGAAATAAACTCTGTCCATTGTTTCTCGGCGGCGCCTGGGATTGAACCCGGGATCATAGGATCACAAGTCAAGCGTGCTGTCTGCTTGGCCGACCGTTACCTTGAGGTGCTTCCGGGGCTTAGCGTCCCCGCGGCCCGGTCGTCGACCAGGCCTCCAGACCGTAGGTGTGGCTAAGTACTGGTAGGTGTGTCCGGCCAGCACGGCCTCTCACATCAGGACAAACACTCGCCGGGTGTTATAACATCTTTCCTGTCCACTTTCCCTCTGTGTAACTCCTACCCAAGCTAAATACTGAGAAATTGTTGCATGCACAATAGCTGCGAAATTTCATGCAATGATTTGGTTTTCAGCAATTTTTGTTATGGTGTTAGGACAGGTGCTAACCTAGTTGTGTTTAAGGGGTGTGTGGGGGGGTGGGAGTTGAGCTTCGGCTCTTTGGTCCCGCCTCTCAATATCCAATAAACTGGTGTACAAGTTCCGGAGTTTTTTTGGGGCTCTGTAATATTTATATTTGAACCTTTCAGGGGAGCCGGTCGGCCGAGCGGACACCACGCTGGTCTTGTGATCCTGTGGTCCTGGGTTCGATCCCAGGCGCCGGCGAGAAACATTGGGCAGAGTTTCTTTCACCCTATGCCCCTGTTACCTAGCAGTAAAATAGGTACCTGGGTGTTAGTCAGCTGTCACGGGCTGCTTCCTAGGGGTGGAGGCCTGGTCGAGGACCGGGCCGCGGGAACACTAAAGCCCCGAAATCATCTCAAGATAACCTCAAGAAGATAACCTTTGCATAGAGTCTTCCTCAACCACATTGCTTCTTAATGCATTACATTTGTTAACTACTCTGACGGTGAAAACAATCTTTCAGATGTGTCTGCGGCTCATTTGGCTACACAGTTTCCACCTGTCTCCTTGTGCGAGTACCATCCGTAATAAATGATCTGGTTTTATCTACCCCAGAGAATTTTGTAGGTTGTAATCATGTCTCCCCTAACTCTTCTGTCTTTCAGTGCCGAGAGGTTTAACTCATATACCCTATCCTTCTTAACTTTTTTAACTTCGTCTTGTGCTTGACTAGATATGGACTCCACGCCGGAGCTGCATACTCCAGTATTGGTCTGACATATGTGGTATACAAGGTTCTGAATGATTCTTACACAACTTTCTAAATGCCTTACTTATGTTGGCCAACCTAGTATATGCTGCTAAAGATATAGTTTTGATGTGGGTTTCAGGAGACAGGTTCGGTGTGTGTGTATTTTATTATTTATATTTAATATTTGTGCCTGCAGGATCAAGTTGTTAGCTCTTGGGCCCCACCTTTCTAATCGTTGGTTGTCTAATAATTTGAATCCCCACCTATTTGTACAACCCATCCTCGACTCAAGTCCATTACATCCAGCGGTCAACCCCACAGACGCATTCATAAATTTTAACATGCTGTTCATTCAAAACGGAGTCCCAAAAGTGATTCCATCCACCCGCCAAACCCCAGCTGTTCATGAATGAAAAACGGTTTACACACGACTCACAACTGATGACGTTCGAACACTTCCGGAACAAGTGCTTCACTGACGAATTTTGTTCGAACCACAACGCTATAAATGCTTCACCCACGTACTACAAATACAAATAATCCCTAACAGAACCTAAACACCTAACTTAACACCTGTGCCTATATATGGGCAATATGTTAATATATTATAATATTCATTTATATTTGAGAAAATTTATATTTTGAATGAACAGCATTAAGGGCGCCTGACAGCTCAGAGTTGACAGTGCTTAAGATTCATAGTACTGAGGTTCCGGGTTCGATCCCCGGTGGAGGCGGAGACAAATGGGCAAAATGTTTCTTTCACCCTGATGCTCCTGTTACCTAACAACAAATAGGTACCTGGGAGTTAGACAACTGCTACGGGCTGCTTCCTTGGGATGTGTAACAAAAAAGGAGGCCTGGTCGAGGACCGGGCCGCGGGGACACTAAAAAAAAGCCCCGAAATCATCTCAAGATAACCCACTTTCTGGTGCTCAGTGGGAACAATATCGAAGAATAACGTTAATTCTTCAGTGAGTCGACGTTACTCTTGGGTACTGTGCCCAGGGATGTCTGAGGAAGTCAGTTGATGTCTGGAGCAGTGTGGAGCAGCTGTGACATCCTGACTTCTCCATGTCAGGCAGTCATGGTTACAGAGACAACTGGTTGGACTTTGTGTTATGGAAGATGTCCTCAAATTTGTGCTAATCTGCGAACCTGCCTCTCGCCCCTGCCACAAAGAGCCAATGAGCCACAGAGCCAAAGCTCAACCCCCGCAATCACAACTAGATGACTCACACAAGTGTGTCACACAAGTGTGTCACACAAGTGACACATACACACAAGTCACACAAGTGACTGCACGGGGCAGACACAAGCGGTATTGTCACACACGATATTACCTTGTGTCTGCCATCGTGACAATACAGCTTGAGTCTGCAGCGGCAGACACAAGCTACACTGTTGCATACAATGGCAGATACAAGCTATATTGTAACACACGATGCTCGATAAGCTCCACTGTCACACACCATGTTCACTGTAGCTTGTGTCTGCCTTTGTGAAAGCATATGTTACACTATCACAGTCGATGGCAGACAATTTTTCCATCCTATTATTGCCTATGAAACATATTTAGCAGCATGTGTATGTGCTTTCTGCCACCAGCCATTAACTCCCTACCCAATCCTGCCTGACTCCAGTACTCTCTCTCACCCCCTCCTCCCCATCCTTGGCTGACGGCTTGGACCATGGTGTACTGGTGCAGGTCTCCTGGTTGTACTGGGGGGATGGGGTAGGGGTGGCGGTGGGCAGTAACCAGTGCAAGATGGAGGAGCGTGAATGTACCCGGGGTTGCAGAACGGGGCAGCAATTAATCACGGGTGTGTGGTGGCAGGGGCGGGTGCTGGGGTCGGCCGGTGTGCCTGTGTGCTCTGCCTACACCACTGTTTGAAGCCACGTCACCTGTGCCGACGGCTCGACGCCGAGGGGCGAAGGGTAAATACACTCTTGGCGAAATCTCCAGTCTCAAGACTCCTGGTTACAACAAACGTCTTTCTTTCCGATGTGCAATTACGGGGAAGGTTGCGTGTCGTTATCAGAGCCCGGCTTTGTCAGCGACTTTTCACCACCGTGGAGGGAAAGAAGGTGGGAGGGAGGGCATGACACAGCTCCCATGCTCCCCCAGGGTACGCCGGCCTCCCTCTCCCACATAATACACCACAAAGACTCGTACACACACTGCAATGGATAACCCACGGCTAAAAAGGCGGAGTCCAAGAGCTTACAGCTCGAGCCAGCAGAGACAAATTGTAAAGTCAAGAAACATATAATGACACAAGATAGTAAAAGGAATTAGCAAAATTGACAAAGAGGAATTCTCCAATCCAGCAACTTTGAAGAACAAGAGGTCATAGATTCAAGCTAAGGGGGACAAACCTGTCCAAATAATATAAGACAGTTCAGTTGTACCAACAGCGTAGTGGACGGTTGGAACAAGTTAAATGGGGGGGGGAGAGAGGAGGCCAAAACCGTTCAGTAGCGTCAAAGCGTCATATGACAATGAGTTAAGTAAGGCATGGGATAAACTTCCTTGATTTGACTTAAACACACCGGCTCTATCAGTTGATTGACGGTTGAGAGGCGGGACCAAAGAGCCAAAGCTCAGCCCCCGCAAGCACAACTATGTGAGTACCAGTTAAATAACCACCAATTTATTCGCTTAATTCCCGGAGAAATCTTCCGTGATGACTTTCTATTGCACATGTCTCACACAAAGACCTCTTTCTCCTCTTGACATAGAGGCGCCTCGTAGACTCTTGAAATGTCTTAGGTTTGTCTCGTAAAATAGTGCTCTAATATGACTGTATCGCGACTGTGTAGCACCATGAGCCTAGTGAGAGAGTGTGGTGACCAGGTCACAGATCTTGGTATCAAATACACCAAGATTGGAAGGTCTTAATCTTGAGAGAAACAACAATTTAACCCATCTTTGGAAGCCATGTGTGTGATGTGATGTCTGGCCTCCTTCAGTTCATGGGTGAACTCATCCAGAATGGGTGAGGGTGTAATCGGAGCCAAGAGGGATTACAATATATGCGAGAGGCTTTACCTTGGCTGTTTACATGGTCGCCTAAACTCCATGTGAGTAGGCCCGTGTAAGCAGATAATTCCCGAAAAGCAAGTACTCGGCCGGCCATGAAGTTCCAATCATTTCTCAATTCTCGAGTCTTAAGTTGTCTGCCATGCATACATTACAATCCTGTCCAAACACCGACTTACATTCTATCCTTCCTTAAATATTTTTGCTGGGAGAACTTCGACATGGAAGCGGACGGGTTTCATAAGTATTCGTCTGGAAGGTGAGAGTTGGAGGGCTGGAGGCGGGGAGGGTAGCCTAGCCAGGCCCACTTCCCGCCTTCCGGGATAGACTAACACTTTCATAATTAAAATCCTCGAGGAATGGGGCCTCCACGGCCAACCAACATTCTTATTCCGTGGCCAAAAGACGCAGTTGATAATTAATGGCCCAGGCGCTGGTAGTGAGCAGAGCGTTGAGGTCATTACATATTCATGGGTATGCCACTAGTCTGACCGTGTCAATAGTAAGGAGCTACCTCGCATTACTCTGTTTCCTCCCGGCCCCCCACCACCTTCCCCACCACCTCCTTCCCCACCATCTTCCCCACCACCACCTTCCCCACCACCACCTTCCCCACCACCACCTTCCCCACCACCACCTTCCCCACCACCACCTTCCCCACCACCACTAACATCTAACATATGACTTAATGAAGGCTGGCCGGGTTTCATAGCCATCCCCGGACATACAAGTGACCCCTCAACACAAAAAACTGGATGAGAAGAAGACGGCAGCATGTAGGCTTGACTTTGTTATGATTTCCCCTGAAATAATATTGACTCGAGGTATTCTCCCAGGGGAGGGGGCTGGGGGAGGGAGGGGGCTGGGGGAGGGAGGGGGGGGAGGGGTAATGGAGGGAGGGGGGTGGGGGGGCAAGGAAGAACACTAACGGACATTGTTTTATCACCGACAAAACTGTGGGTGGTGGAGGATAAATATGAAGCACTACATCAACCGTTGATGTAGTGTTGAGGGGCAGTTAGTGTTGGTGGAGTGAGGGTGTTGATCACTGTGTTGGTGGAGTGATGGTGTTGATTACTGTGTGTTGGTGGAGTGATGGTGTTGATCACTGTGTGTTGGTGGAGTGATGGTGTTGATCACTGTGTGTTGGTGGAGTGAGGGTGTTGATTACTGTGTGTTGGTGGAGTGAGGGTGTTGATACCTGTGTGTTGGTGGAGTGATGGTGTTGATCACTGTGTTGGTGGAGTGATGGTGTTGATCACTGTGTTGGTGGAGTGATGGTGTTGATACCTGTGTGTTGGTGGAGTGATGGTGTTGATCACTGTGTTGGTGGAGTGATGGTGTTGATCACTGTGTTGGTGGAGTGATGGTGTTGATCACTGTGTTGGTGGAGTGATGGTGTTGATCACTGTGTGTTGGTGGAGTGATGGTGTTGATCACTGTGTTGGTGGAGTGATGGTGTTGATCACTGTGTGTTGGTGGAGTGATGGTGTTGATCACTGTGTTGGTGGAGTGATGGTGTTGATCACTGTGTTGGTGGAGTGATGGTGTTGATCACTGTGTGTTGGTGGAGTGATGGTGTTGATCACTGTGTGTTGGTGGAGTGATGGTGTTGATCACTGTGTGTTGGTGGAGTGATGGTGTTGATCACTGTGTTGGTGGAGTGATGGTGTTGATCACTGTGTTGGTGGAGTGATGGTGTTGATCACTGTGTTGGTGGAGTGATGGTGTTGATCACTGTGTTGGTGGAGTGATGGTGTTGATCACTGTGTTGGTGGAGTGATGGTGTTGATCACTGTGTTGGTGGAGTGATGGTGTTGATCACTGTGTTGGTGGAGTGATGGTGTTGATCACTGTGTGTTGGTGGAGTGATGGTGTTGATCACTGTGTGTTGGTGGAGTGATGGTGTTGATCACTGTGTTGGTGGAGTGATGGTGAATTCAACCAAATTGAATTCTCCACAAGCATATCCAGCATGAATTCATCATTCTATAAACGGGCTACACAGAGGATAATACACACTATGTATACGTGATAATACACGCTATGTATACGTGATAATACACGCTATGTATACGTGATAATACACGCCATGTATACGTGATAATACACGCTATGTATACGTGATAATACACGCTATGTATACGTGATAATACACGCCATGTATACGTGATAATACACGCTATGTATACGGGATAATACACGCCATGTATACGTAAGCTCCGCCAGCAAGACAGAAATAAGTGTGTGTGAGGGAGGACTCGGGGAGCTGCACATTCAGAGTATTTTGATAATCCGATTGTTCCTTGACGGAGAGTAAACACCCTTGATCATTATGTTACCTGGTACTGGGGCTTTGGTACTGGTGACGTCACGTGGTTACACCCCCCCCCCACACACACACACACTCTCCCCCGCCGCCTCCCCCCCCCCTCTCCCACACACTCCCCCACCGCCTCCCCCTCTCTCCCACACACTCCCCCACCGCCTCCCACTCTCTCCCACACACTTCCCCGCCACCTTCCCCCTCTCCCACACACTCCCCCACCATCTCCCCCCACACACTACTCAATGATTACTCGCTCGGTTAAAGTAGCTACAGTGTGGTGGGGGGTCTGGACAGTGTGTGTGTGGGGGGGGGGGGGTCTGGACAGTGTGTGTGTGGGGGGGGTGGTTAACTTAAGCTTGATGTAGTTGTATTCACCTAGTTGTGCTTGCGGGGGTAGAGGGGGAGGGGTTGAGCTCTGGCTCTTTGAGCCCGCCTGTCAACTGTCAATCGATCAACTGATTGATTTTTTTCCACACACACACACACACACACACACACACACACACACACACACACACACACACACACACACACACACACACACACACACACACACACACACACTTCTCACTAGGGAGCCGGTCGGCCGAGCGGACAGCACGCTGGACTTGTGATCCTGTGGTCCCGGGTTCGATCCCGGGCGCCGGCGAGAAACAATGGGCAGAGTTTCTTTCACCCTATGCCCCTGTTACCTAGCAGTAAAATAGGTACCTGGGTGTTAGTCAGCTGTCACGGGCTGCTTCCTGGGGGTGGAGGCCTGGTCGAGGACCGGGCCGCGGGGACACTAAAGCCCCGAAATCATCTCAAGATAACCTCCCCGCCACCTCCCAATAATAATGACACTATCAACTAACACCATTCAGAAACCCTCACCACCAAGACTTCAATACACTGACACTGACTGGGAAGCGTTCAAAAGCAGTGCACAGGAAATCAGTGTCACAGGATTTTAATGGAAAGGAAACATCATGCATAAACGCTGAGTTAAATACATAGATTAACACCATAGAAAAATGCATGACTGATCACATTCCCGTAGCTCACCACATAACGCTCCCACACCCCCCAGCCACTGAGGCGCTCAGGATACAACAAACCAGATATAACAACCTTCTACAACTCATAACACAACACGGGTGGACGGATGAGCGCAAAAGACTACAAAGGGAACTACAAGATGAGCTGCAAGATCTGTGCAACACAGAGTACACCAAACAATGGGATGACCTAATAAGCACAATCCAAGTCGACTACAGAAACCCGGGAAAGTTCTGGAAAAAAGTAAAGACCGTGATGGGAAGCTCTTCTGAGGAAACACCCTACATCATAGACGCCTCAGGAAACACCCTACATCATAGACGCCTCAGGAAACACCCTACATCATAGACGCCTCAGGAAACACCCTACATCATAGACGCCTCAGGAAACACCCTACATCATAGACGCCTCAGGAAACACCCTACATCATAGACGCCTCAGGAAACACCCTACATCATAGACGCCTCAGGAAATAAACTCTATGAGGAGAGAGAACAAGAGCAGGAATTCAGGAAGTTCTGGGAAAAAATATTCAGGATAAACCCGGAAGAAAAATTTAACTTTTGCCCCCATTAATAAAAGGGAAATTACAACTCAAGTCGATAACAGAGCTGCAACACTACTCCCGACGCAAACAATAGACCTTAACTACATACGCGATGACTGCCACCTTATGAAACACATGACCATTGCGGAGGTCCATAAAACAATTATGGGTTTCAAGAACAAGGCGCCGGGCAACAGCAAGATAAATAAGATGGTATTATCCAACCTACCAGAGATTGCACTCCATCAATACACATGTATCTTAAATGTAGCTCTTGCATCTGGACTATTCCCCACATACTTCAAGAATGCCACAATAAGATTAATCCCCAAGCCAGGTAAACCCCCAACCCAAACTGAAAATTACATACACAGTATTTATCTATAGACATCCATATATAGTGAAACACATGTGAAGAACCTCTCACACACTCACAGCTCCCTGACAAGAGGGAGCCAGCTTAGCTTAGCTGCCAACACCCACACATCGTGTCAGCAAGGCGGACAGCCCGCCTGCTGTCATACCTCTCACTGTATTTCCCACTTCCAAACTTTCCTTCACCTATGCCTCTCATTCCTCTTTACTCCTCCCCCCCCCCAAAAAAAATACACATACAATATTATTATTATAGTTTTTATTATTAATTATTATTGTTACTATTATTTATCACAGTTATAGGCGTGTAGGAGCGAGCAGCCAACCCGTTCTCGCACTTGCTAACAGTCAATTTTGGCTTATTTAATAAGTGCATATGTGACATACTAATTGATTGTGAATATTTTAGTTTACCTTGAAAAGCTTCATAGAAAACACCGACCTCACCTAACCTTCTTAGTATGTTAAGATAAGCATCTTATTGCTTCTTAATTACAATTATTACTTAACCTATCAACGGTATAGGTTAAGTAATAATTGTAAATAAGAAGCAATAAGATGCTTATCTTAACATACTAAGAAGGTTAGGTGAGGTCGGTGTTTTCTATGAAGCTTTTCAAGGTAAACTAAAATATTTACAATCAATTAGTATGTCACATATGCACTTATTAAATAAGCCAATATTGACTATAAGCAAGTGCGAAAACGGGTTGCAGCAGCGTAGAGCAGAGATGCCATCGCTCCTCCGTGCCTCCATCTCACAGTTGCAACACATATATTGCAAGTGTGCTGATCACGGCTGCACAAACACTCATCCTCAACACTCAACGATAAGAAAAAAATGGCGCTGGTTAGGGAAAGTTTGGGAGGTGATTCGTATTCTGACGCTGATATCTTGAGGTTATCTTGAGATGATTTCGGGGCTTTTTAGTGTCCCCGCGGCCCGGTCCTCGACCAGGCCTCCACCCCCAGGAAGCAGCCCGTGACAGCTGACTAACACCCAGGTACCTATTTTACTGCTAGGTGACAGGGGCATAGGGTGAAAGAAACTCTGCCCATTGTTTCTCGCCGGCGCCTGGGATCGAACCCAGGACCACAGGATCACAAGTCCAGCGTGCTGTCCGCTCGGCCGACCGGCTCCCTGATGGACTCATTAGATTTTTAGGCTCTTAATCTAACATCTGAGAGCATTTGCACGCTCACAAATTTGTCTCATTACCGGTACAAAATATATATTTTTTGTTATCTTTTAAGAGGAATCGTTTGTAAAGATGGAGGGGAGGTGTTTCTTTATTGTGAGTGGCTATGACTCTTTCTCTCTGATTAGACTAGAAGTTAAGATTGTTGTTATAGATTCAGCTAATCGGAACAAGTTGCAAGTAGCACGGGCTATGGTGATCCCGTAGTGGACTTACCTGGCACAGGAGCGGGGCAAGTAGCACGGGCTATGGTGAGCCTGTAGTGAACTTACCTGGCACAGGAGCGGGGCAAGTAGCACGGGCTATGGTGAGCCCATAGTGGACTTACCTGGCACAGGAGCGGGGCAAGTAGCACGGGCTATGGTGAGCCCGTAGTGGACTTACCTGGCACAGGAGCGGGGCAAGTAGCACGGGCTATGGTGAGCCCGTAGTGGACTTACCTGGCACAGGAGCGGGGCAAGTAGCACGGGCTATGGTGAGCCCGTAGTGGACTTACCTGGCACAGGAGTGGGGCTGTGTGGTTCTTAAGGGGCTAATATACAGACGTACACACATAGAGACACACGCACGCACACACGCACGCACAACACGCACAGCTGGGGTCTTACAGCTGAGTGGACAGCGCTCAGGAGGTTCGTTAGAGCCCGGGTTCGATCCCCTACCGCGGCAGAAAGAAATGGGACAGATATTCTTTCGTCCTGATGTACCTGTTCACCTAGCAGAAAATAGGTGCCTGGGAGTCAGACAGTTGCTACGGACTGCTTGCTTTGTGTGTGTGTGTGTGTGTGTGTGTGTGTGTGTGTGTGTGTGTGTGTGTGTGTGTGTGTGTGTGTGTGTGTGTGTGTGTGTGTGTGTGTGTGTGTGTGTGTGTGTGTGTGTGTGTGTGTGTGTGTGTGTGTGTGTGTGTGTGTGTGTGTGTGTGTGTGTGTGAGAAATATATGTACTAGACATAATAAAGGAAAAATAAATTGGTTAGAAAGGCGGGGTCCAAGAACTAATAGCTCGATTCTGCAGATACAAATAGTAAATTACAAATAGTAAATACACACACACACACACACACGGTTGAGAGGCGGGACCAAAGAGCCAGAGCTCAACCCCCGCAAACACAACTAAGTGAGTACACACACACACACACACACACACACACACACACACACACACACACACACACACGGTTGAGAGGCGGGACCAAAGAGCCAGAGCTCATCCCCCGCAAACACAACTAGGTGAGTACACACACACACACACACACACACACACACACACACACACACACACACACGCAGATATTGATGATAAAAATAAATCAATTGTGAAACTCGCCAGTAGGCAATCACTCAGAATTTGCAATGGTTTAATTAAAATTTAATGAAATGCCATTAAACATAATTTTGTGTATCAATCGATACTAATTACATTTCAACTCAGTACAGTTAACGGTGATTATAATTTTACAACAATACAACACTTAATTAGTTTATTGTTTACTGTACAGCTTGTGTTAACTGTGTTTTAATTTGTTGGGAATGAGCCTATGTGTCATCCTGTCTGTAAGTCTGTCTGTGTCACTTGTGTTTTTTTCCTGTCTGTTTCTCTCTTTGTCTCTGTGAGGTGGAGAGGGGAGGTTTCCTGTGAGCCTTAAGAAGAGTTTATTATTTCCTGAAACGTCAACTATGGCAGTACCTGTCTTGTTAACTATGGCAGCACCTGTTTCGTTAACTATGGCAGCACCTGTCCCGTTAACTATGGCAGCACCTGTCCCGTCAACTATGGCAGCACCTGTCCCGTTAACTATGGCAGCACCTGTCCCGTCAACTATGGCAGCACCTGTCCCGTCAACTATGGCAGCACCTGTCCCGTCAACTATGACAGCACCTGTCCCATCAACTATGACAGCACCTGTCCCGTCAACTATGACAGCACCTGTCCCGTCAACTATGGCAGCACCTGTCCCATCAACTATGACAGCACCTGTCCCGTCAACTATGACAACACCTGTCCCATCAACTATGACAGCACCTGTCCCGTCAACTATGGCAGCACCTGTCCCATCAACTATGACAGCACCTGTCCCGTCAACTATGACAACACCTGTCCCATCAACTATGACAGCACCTGTCCCATCAACTATGACAGCACCTGTCCCATCAACTATGACAGCACCTGTCCCATCAACTATGACAGCACCTGTCCCATCAACTATGACAGCACCTGTCCCGTCAACTATGACAACACCTGTCCCATCAACTATGACAGCACCTGTCCCATCAACTATGACAGCACCTGTCCCGTCAACTATGACAGCACCTGTCCCATCAACTATGACAGCACCTGTCCCATCAACTATGACAGCACCTGTCCCATCAACTATGACAGCACCTGTCCCATCAACTATGACAGCACCTGTCCCATCAACTATGACAGCACCTGTCCATTCAGCAGGCTGGAACACGTGTCAACCAATGGCCGTTGCATTCATGTTTTTATCTGTCTCTCTCAGTCCCTTTCTCTGCCTTTTCTCTGCCTCTTCTGTGCACCTTGGCACCCCTTCCTCCCTGCCAGTGCCACCAGAGGGTATGGCCCCCTGGGAGCCCTCAACCCTCTATTGTCAAAACACCCCCCGCCCCCCCCCCCCCCCCAACTCTTTTTAAGTGGCTAGGGAAAGTTTGCTGTGGGGGTGAGGTGGGAGGCGGCACTCAGCCACTGTAAAGGGATACAAAGTTCAACTTGTGACTGAGGACGGCTTATGCACAGTACGGGTGACTGATGGAGACTCGTGTCCGTGACTGAGTGCGTGACTGAGTGCGTGATTGAGTGCGTGACGGCGTGCACCTCTAGCAAGGGTGTGAGCAGCACCTCAGTCTTCGTATATATATACGATCTAGTGGTCTAGTGGTTATGGTACTCTGTATGCCGGGGTGATCCTGGTTGGCGAGGGTTCGAATCCTAGTCGAGGCAATAGAGTTCTTAGGGGTGTATATATATATATATATATATATATATATATATATATATATATATATATATATATATATATATATATGTCGTACCTAGTAGTCAGAACTCACTTTTCAGCCTACTATGCAAGGCCCGATTTGCCTAATAAGCCAAGTTTTCATGAATTAATTGTTTTCCGACTACCTAACCTACCTAACCTAACCTAACCTAACCTACCTTTTTCGGCTACCTAACCTAACCTAACCTATAAAGATAGGTTAGGTTAGGTTAGGTAGGGTTGGTTAGGTTCGGTCATATATCTACGTTAATTTTACCTCAAATAAAATACAATTGACCTCATACATAATGAAATGGGTAGCTTTATCATTTCATAAGAAAATAATTAGAGAAAATATATTAATTCATGAAAACTTGGCTTATTAGGCAAATCGGGCCTTGCATAGTAGGCTGAGAAGTGAGTTCTGGCTACTAGGTACGACATATATATATATATATATATATATATATATATATATATATATATATATATATATATATATACCATGTGTGTGTGTGTGTGTACTCACCTAGTTGTGCTTGCGGGGGTTCAGCTCTGCTCTTTGGGCCCGCCTCTGTCAATCATCTGTTACTAACTACTATTTTTTCCACGCCACACACACACACACGCGCGCGCACCAGGAAGCAGCCCGTGACAGCTGACTAACTCCCAGGTACCTATTTACTGCTAGGTAACAGGGGCATCAGGGTGAGAGAAACTCTGCCCATTGTTTCTCGCCGGCGCTGGGAATCGAACCCGGGATCACGCGTCCAGCGTGCTGTCCAGTCAGCCACGGCCCCCCCCCCCGGGTGTGTGTGTGTGTGTGTGTGTGTGTGTGTGTGTGTGTGTGTGTGTGTGTGTGTGTGTGTGTGTGTGTGTGTGTGTGCGTGTGCGCGCGTGGGTTTTACCGGGTGTTTGTATTTCGTTTGCTTAGATTTGCATTATGCGTCCGTACTAGACGTGCGCACGAACGCACGCTCGTGCGCGCACACACTTGTCAGCTGGTGATGACTACATTAGAGGAGGTCCCGCGGAGGCTGTCCCACGCCCCCCCCCCCACACCCCCACCAGGAGAGAGTTGGGCGTAAGTTCAATATTGGTCCACCTCTGCCCCTTCCCCCCCTCCCCCCTCCTCCCCCTTTCCCCCCCCTGTATCACCCCCCTCGACCCCTTCTCGCTGCTCTTGCACCTCAACCCTTTCCCCTACCAGAGTACCACCCCCCTACCTAGAGTACACAGCCCTGGCTAGTGTAACAACCCCCCCCCCCACAACACCCCTACACCGGCCAGAGTACCAGTCCCCCGCAGCCATCTAGTACCAGCCCCTGGGCAGAGTACCAACACCCCGCAGAGTACCACCGCCAGCAGACACTAAGAAGTGCGTGGAAGGTGAACTGGGATGAGGACAGTCGTTGTAGAGTCCTTGTGGTCTCCAGCCAGCCAGTCAGGCAGCCAGCCAGCCAGCCAGCCAGCCAGCCAGCCAGCCAGCCAGTCAGCCAGCCAGTCAGCCAGCCAACCAGCCAGCTAACTAAGCCAGTGAGTGAGGCGGCAACACAGCCCGATAAGCTACGTATAACCTTCCAGGAAGTCAGCGATACAGCGAGCCAGCTCCAGGAAGACCATATAGCAGCAGCTGGCAGCGTTCCAGCGAGCTAACGTGCATCCTCCCCGGCTGGTCTAACACCTGTACCGAGGCTACCAGCCTTCCAGCGACCCAGACAGCCATCGCTGAGTCTCGCACAACACTTCCAGAGAGCTGGTCGAGTCGTCTGGAAGCCAAGAAGTTACCCCAACTTATTGGAAGCGAGGCTTCGAGGAAGGGAGAGAGAATGCCATCCGCCAGCCAGTTGCCAGTGATTCAGCCAGTCAGCCAACCAGCCAATCAGCCATTCAGCCAGCCAGCCAGCCAGCCTACACGCTCCCTCTGTCGATCTACAGGTCATTTCCAGTATTGGTCTAGTGTTAGTCCAAAGGTCTAGTGGATATCGCCAGTGTTGGCTGGAATATCAATTAGATATCCAGAGCCCGTTGGGCTACTTGCACCCCCCTAGCAGGAACAAGGGCTACTTGCACCCCCCCTAGCAGGAACAAGGGCTACTTGCACCCCCCTAGCAGGAACAAGGGCTACTTGCACCCCCCTAGCAGGAACAAGGGCTACTTACACCCTCCTAGCAGGAACAAGGGCTACTTGCACCCCCTAGCAGGAACATGGGGCTACTTGCACCCTCCTAGCAGGAACAAGGGCTACTTGCACCCTCCTAGCAGGAACAAGGGGCTACTTGCACCCCCTAGCAGGAACATGGGGCTACTTGCACCCCCCTAGCAGGAACAAGGGGCTACTTGCACCCCCTAGCAGGAACATGGGGCTACTTGCACCCCCCTAGCAGGAACAAGGGCTACTTGCACCCCCCTAGCAGGAACAAGGGCTACTTGCACCCCCCTAGCAGGAACATGGGGCTACTTGCACCCCCCCCCTAGCAGGAACAGGGGCTACTTGCACCCCCTAGCAGGAACAAGGGGCTACTTGCACCCCCCTAGCAGGAACAAGGGGCTACTTGCACCCCCCCTAGCAGGAACAGGGGCTACTTGCACCCCCCCTAGCAGGAACAAGGGACTACTTGCACCCCCCTAGCAGGAACAAGGGGCTACTTGCACCCCCCCTAGCAGGAACAAGGGCTACTTGCACCCCCCTAGCAGGAACAAGGGGTTACTTGCACCCCCCTAGCAGGAACAAGGGCTACTTGCACCCCCCTAGCAGGAACAAGGGCTACTTGCACCCCCCTAGCAGGAACAAGGGGTTACTTGCACCCCCCTAGCAGGAACAAGGGCTACTTGCACCCCCCTAGCAGGAACAAGGGGCTACTAGCACCCCCCTAGCAGGAACAAGGGCTACTTGCACCCCTCTAGCAGGAACAAGGGCTACTTGAACCCCCCCTAGCAGGAACAAGGGCTACTTGCACCCCCCTAGCAGGAACAAGGGCTACTTGCACCCCCCTAGCAGGAACAAGGGGCTACTTGCACCCCCCCTAGCAGGAACAAGGGGCTACTAGCACCCCCTAGCAGGAACAAGGGGCTACTTGCACCCCCCTAGCAGGAACAAGGGCTACTTGCACCCCCCCTAGCAGGAACAAGGGCTACTTGCACCCCCTAGCAGGAACAAGGGCTACTTGCACCCCCCTAGCAGGAACAAGGGCTACTTGCACCCCCCCCTAGCAGGAACAAGGGCTACTTGCACCCCCTAGCAGGAACAAGGGCTACTTGCACCCCCTAGCAGGAACAAGGGGCTACTTGAACCCCCCTAGCAGGAACAAGGGCTACTAGCACCCCCCCCCTAGTAGGAACAAGGGCTACTTGCACCCCCCTAGCAGGAACAAGGGCTACTAGCACCCCCCCTAGTAGGAACAAGGGCTACTTGCACCCCCCTAGCAGGAACAAGGGGCTACTTGCACCCCCCTAGCAGGAACAAGGGCTACTTGCACCCCCCCTAGCAGGAACAAGGGCTACTTGCACCCCCTAGCAGGAACAAGGGCTACTTGAACCCCCCCTAGCAGGAACAAGGGCTACTTGCACCCCCCCTAGCAGGAACAAGGGCTACTTGCACCCCCTAGCAGGAACAAGGGGCTACTTGAACCCCCCTAGCAGGAACAAGGGCTACTTGCACCACCCCCCTAGCAGGAACAAGGGGCTACTTGCACCACCCTAGCAAGAACAAGGGCTACTTGCACCCCCCCCCTAGCAGGAACAAGGGCTACTTGCACCCCCCCTAGCAGGAACAAGGGCTACTTGCACCCCCCCTAGCAGGAACAAGGGGCTACTTGAACCCCCCTAGCAGGAACAAGGGCTACTTGCACCCCCCCTAGCAGGAACAAGGGCTACTTGCACCCCCCCTAGCAGGAACAAGGGGCTACTTGAACCCCCCTAGCAGGAACAAGGGCTACTTGCACCACCCCCCTAGCAGGAACAAGGGCTACTTGCACCCCCCCCCCCCTAGCAGGAACAAGGGCTACTTGCACCACCCTAGCAGGAACAAGGGCTACTTGCACCCCCCCTAGCAGGAACAAGGGCTACTTGCACCCCCTAGCAGGAACAAGGGCTACTTGAACCCCCCCTAGCAGGAACAAGGGCTACTTGCACCCCCCCTAGCAGGAACAAGGGCTACTTGCACCACCCTAGCAGGAACAAGGGGCTACTTGCACCCCCCCCTAGCAGGAACAAGGGCTACTTGCACCACCCTAGCAGGAACAAGGGGCTACTTGCACCCCCCCCTAGCAGGAACAAGGGCTACTTGCACCACCCTAGCAGGAACAAGGGGCTACTTGCACCCCCCTAGCAGGAACAAGGGCTACTTGAACCCCCCCTAGCAGGAACAAGGGGCTACTTGCACCCCCCCCCCTAGCAGGAACAAGGGCTACTTGAACCCCCTAGCAGGACTTACCTTCCCAAAGGGTAACTCCCCCAGCCTCTCCTCTGCGTCACCAGCAAGGGGAGTGCTTGCCTCCTCCTTCCCTTTGCCTTAGGAAGGTGGTGAACGTTTGCCGCGGAAACGTTCATAGGTCCAAACGTTCAAATGCAGCATTCAGGAGTCGCATTTTAAAGGGCCCGGGTTCGACTCCCAACCTCAGACAAATACAAATGGGCAGAGTTTCTTTCATCTGATGCCTTTGTTCACCTAGCAGTAAATAGATATCTAAAAGTTAAACAGCTGTTACGGGCTGTTATCAGTCTTTCTCCCAGATATCTATTTTCCTTCTAGGTGAACAGACACATCAGGTGAAAGAAATTATGCATTTAAATCCCTGTACACAGCATACGTGAGACCATTCTTGGAGTATGCAACCGGGTGTGAGGAGGGTCTGAAGGAGCTGGAAGTGACGTCGCTAGAATATAGGAGACATGATAGAGACATATAAAATACTTAAGGGAGATTGACACAGTGGAAAAAGACATGTTTACAATGAGTGCCAGTAGAGCATCGAGGGAAGTGTGAGGAAACACGAAATATTAGAAAGTAGTTTTATATTGATGTAAAAGTATTAGGACAATGGAAATTAACTAAATGAACATGCTGTAGAAAATAACTTCATAGATAATAAATAATAGATTTAATAGATTCTTAGAGATAGATAATAATAAATAATTAATAATAGATTCTTCATAGAACATAAATAATAGTTTAAAAAATAGATATGATAGAACAAAAATAGTCATTGCATTAGGCTACCGACAGCTAGGAGGGCTGGGGGTTCAAGAGCTAACGCTCGACCCCCACCGACACCAATAGGTGAGCATACACACACACACAAATCATAAGCGCAGTGTACAAGAGGTGACACCGCCAATTTTCCGCTGTAAATGGGACGATAATGTCAACAAAAGCCCGATGGAGTGCTGGTCCCCTCCCTCCCCCCCCCCCAACACCCGACCTGTCGTCACCGTTACACTCTGTCACAATATTTTGATATTCATGTGCTCTTTGTCATTTCTGCTTTGTCGTAAATTCTATGTAAATTACACGATAGCTTCTGTGCTTACGGATGAGATAGAGCAGCTGCTGCAAACCGGCAGAAATTAAACAAATGTAAGTGGGAGAATTTAATATTAAAAAAAAATATTGTCCGACTGGCAACACTCGCGGTGGCTGGCGCCCCTTTTGATTTACGCGGGAAAGGGTCGCCCGGAAAATGGCGTTCGATTGTTGGTAAAAGCGCATGAATTTTCATTAAATTTTGAAGGCACCATCACTAACGATTTTAATTCGCGTTCACGTTACATATTTTTGGTATTGGGAATATTTAGGCGGCATATTGGCCGTGATGCATTGTAATGAGCGGTAGAGACGCTGGCTGGGGGAAGCCCAGAACGCAGGAGTCCGGACACCAGCCCGCGGTACTCGAGCAACAAAAGGGCAGCGGGTGGCGTCAAAGATGAATAGGCGATATTTCTTCCTGACAAAGAATCCGTCTAAACACTCATAAGAAAATCAAACTTAGGGTGGTAGTATCACCGGCGCTGTGAATTACAGTTTGGAGCGTCCATAGAGGAGAGCGTAGGGGCGCTAACGAGACTAAGTCTTAACGAATATTACCACTCCATTCTTCCCTGCTCACCCTCTCTATATAAACCTTGACCAGCGACTCTAGTTGATTTGTATGCGACTAATTATACGGGGTCTCCGGGCCTCCTCCCCCCTGAATAAACGGTGGGCAGTGAGAGAGGTGAGTTATATGAGAGTGATTACAAGGGCGATGATAATCTTGCCGGATGGCTGGAGTCCCATGTGTTCTTAACTGTGTCAACTATTAAATCAGGCGGGCTGGGAGCCGAGCACCGATCTGCGTGGGGTAATAAGCGCCCTGACGGACTGCTGTTTGATTTCCACTTCTGGATAAGCTGTATCTGTTGAGATTGTCAGTCGCTGATGGCCCGAGTATAGCGAAGCTGTTGAAGAATGTAACGAACTATTTAGCGTTGGACGCATGCGCTGCGCTGTTCACCAACGCATGGCACGTGTGTAATTTCTGCAGGTGTGTGGGGGAAGAGTTTGTTGATTGGTGCTCATCATTGAGTAATGAACATTAATGCGGTGTTGCTGTAGCCTAGTGAACTGTGGCCATGTATAGCTGTGGCCATGTATTGCTGTGTCCATGTATTGCTGTGTCCATGTATAGCTGTGTCCATGTATAGCTGTGTCCATGTATTGCTGTGTCCAAGTATTCCTGTGTCCAAGTATAGCTGTGTCCATGTATTGCTGTGTCCATGTATTGCTGTGTCCATGTATAGCTGTGTCCATGTATTGCTGTGTCCATGTATTGCTGTGTCCATGTATTGCTGTGTCCAAGTATTCCTGTGTCCAAGTATAGCTGTGTCCAAGTATAGCTGTGTCCAAGTATTGCTGTGTCCTCTCCAAGAGAGAGATCGCTGTGTCACGGTAACCCTCTGTACCACATAATATACATTCTGTACGATACATAAAAACACACACATACATACACAGAATACAGTCTCAACACCCCACCAAAAACATACAGGCACTGAGTATACTGCCACAATACCCACGGATATACCAGCATACACACGGCTCCGGTCAACATCACTCACCCTGGTATCGTAGTAGACTAGAGTAGGGAGGTCGCTAGGTTGTTTCAAGCGTAGGCTAAACCCCACTGTACATATGATTGAGTTTAGATGGGTTTAAATAGTGGTTTAAGTGGGTCTTCTGTAGGTTTTACTAATGGTATTATGTAGAGTTATTCTTGCTGGAAGTCTTAGTCAACCCACCCCTCCGTCAACCCACCTGTCCGTCAACCCACCCGTCCGTCAACCCACCCGTCCGTCAACCCACCCGTCCATCAACCCACCCGTCCGTCAACCCACCCGTCCGTCAACCCACCCGTCCGTCAACCCACCCGTCCGTCAGCCCACCCGTCCGTCAACCCACCCGTCCGTCAACCCACCTGTCCGTCAACCCACCCGTCCGTCAACCCACCCGTCCGTCAGCCCACCCGTCCGTCAACCCACCTTCCGGACAGAAGTGAGATGTTTATCATGACCAAAGGAACGAGGAGCGGACAGTTTCAAGAGCAGGTGTGATAGCGGGGCAAGATAGCACGTCATCAACAATTAATGACAGTGTGCGACCGTCGACTTTAAAGAAAGAGTCGGGCTCAGGAACTGAAGCTCGACCCTACAAGCACACATATAGAGGGGCCTTAGGACACTGTGGGGGTGGAAACCGCTTGGGCCACCAGGGCTCTCTGGGGCCCCCCACTGGGTGGGGGGCCCCTACCCCCCCCCCCCAGGCACGTGCCTTGGTGGGGGTTTGTTGTCTTACGTGCTGCGTTGTACGTGCAGCAGCTGTGTCGTTACGTGCAGCAGCTGTGGCGTTACGTGCAGCAGCTGTGGCGTCACGTGCAGCAGCTGTGGCGTCACGTGCAGCAGCTGTGGCGTCACGTGCAGCAGCTGTGTCGTCACGTGCAGCAGCTGTGGCGTCACGTGCAGCAGCTGTGGCGTCACGTGCAGCAGTTGTGGCGTCACGTGCAGCAGTTGTGGCGTCACGTGCAGCAGTTGTGGCGTCACGTGCAGCAGTTGTGGCGTCACGTGCAGCAGCTGTGTCGTTACGTGCAGCAGCTGTGGCGTCACGTGCAGCAGCTGTGGCGTCACGTGCAGCAGTTGTGGCGTCACGTGCAGCAGTTGTGGCGTCACGTGCTGCAGTTGTGGCGTCCCGTGCAGCAGCTGTGGCGTCACGTGCAGCAGTTGTGGCGTCACGTGCAGCAGCTGTGGCGTCACGTGCAGCAGCTGTGGCGTCACGTGCAGCAGTTGTGGCGTCACGTGCAGCAGCTGTGGCGTCACGTGCAGCAGTTGTGGCGTCACGTGCTGCAGCTGTGGCGTCACGTGCAGCAGCTGTGGCGTCACGTGCAGCAGCTGTGGCGTCACGTGCAGCAGTTGTGGCGTCACGTGCAGCAGCTGTGGCGTCACGTGCAGCAGTTGTGGCGTCACGTGCTGCAGCTGTGACGTCACGTGCAGCAGCACGTGACGCCAGCAGTGTGCAGCACTTAGTATTCATATCCCCGGTGGTGATGACACCACCGGGGCTGGCTTTGTTGTGTCGTGGGTTAAGTGGTGATTATGGTGTCATTATACGCTGGGGGGGGGCGGCCGGGGCCGTCACCATCTCCCAGTGATGGTGACGCCAGCCCGACCTCACCCCCTCCCCCCCCCCTCACACAACCAAATTCTTAAGGAGTGATTTGGCATTTAAGTTATATCTTAAAATTTTTTATATACATCCACACAGATGCACACTCTACACATGTGTGGTGCAAACATGCACACTCTACACATGTGTGGTGCAAACATGCACACTCTACACATGTGTGGTGCAAACATGCACACTCTACACATGTGTGGTGCAAACATGCACACTCTACACATGTGTGGTGCAAACATGCACACTCTACACATGTGTGGTGCAAACATGCACACTCTACACATGTGTGGTGCAAACATGCACACTCTACACATGTGTGGTGCAAACATGCACACTCTACACATGTGTGGTGCAAACATGCACACTCTACACATGTGTGGTACACAGATGCACACTCTACACATGTGTGGTGCAAACATGCACACTCTACACATGTGTGGTGCAAACATGCACACTCTACACATGTGTGGTGCAAACATGCACACTCTACACATGTGTGGTGCAAACATGCACACTCTACACATGTGTGGTGCAAACATGCACACTCTACACATGTGTGGTGCAAACATGCACACTCTACACATGTGTGGTGCAAACATGCACACTCTACACATGTGTGGTGCAAACATGCACACTCTACACATGTGTGGTGCAAACATGCACACTCTACACATGTGTGGTGCAAACATGCACACTCTACACTTGTGTGGTGCACACATGCACACTCTACACATGTGTGGTGCAAACATGCACACTCTACACATGTGTGGTACACAGATGCACACTCTACACATGTGTGGTGCAAACATGCACACTCTACACATGTGTGGTGCACACATGCACACTCTACACATGTGTGGTGCAAACATGCACACTCTACACATGTGTGGTGCAAACATGCACACTCTACACATGTGTGGTGCAAACATGCACACTCTACACATGTGTGGTGCAAACATGCACACTCTACACATGTGTGGTGCAAACATGCACACTCTACACATGTGTGGTGCAAACATGCACACTCTACACATGTGTGGTGCAAACATGCACACTCTACACATGTGTGGTACACAGATGCACACGCTACACATGTGTGGTACACAGATGCACACACTACACATGTGTACTACACAGATGCACACTCTACACATGTGTAGTACACAGATGCACACGCTACACATGTGTGGTACACAGATGCACACATTACACATGTGTACTACACAGATGCACACTCTACACATGTGTAGTACACAGATGCACACACTACACATGTGTGGTACACAGATGCACACTCTACACATGTGTACTGCACAGATGCACACTCTACACATGTGTGGTACACAGATGCACACTCTACACATGTGTGGTACACACATGCACACTCTACACATGTGTACTACACAGATGTGTATTGTGGTGGGGTGGGGGTCCCCCTAGCACTGTCTGAACCTCGTTACTATAAACTTTCAATTACTTTCAAAGCTCTCGTAGAAGTTATAAATTTAGCCCATTTAAGTCAATTTCAGATGATGCTTTGATCAAATTAGTTTAACTAATTTTATTGTACATTTCGTATTGATGGGAATATCTATATGTATCTTCGTATTGATGGGAATATCTATATGTATCTATATGAATATGTAACTACTATATGAGTATCTGGTAATGTCTCTATGCAAATGAATACAATTTAAGCCTAATGATTTCGAGAACAGCTGGGACAATAGGCCTAATGAGAGCCGAGTAGCACTATTTACCCCCAGACTGTCCTTTTGGCTGGCCACTCCGTCTGCACTCTCTTGAACATTAAATTGTAGAATGTCCCATACTGACTGACTTTCGCCCTCCTGGGCTAAGGTATGCTGAACTCTGTAACTACTATATGAGTACTGGAACACTTGATGATATATTGGACTTGTACCCAGGATTGACCATGTAATGTATCAATTATATAATGTATGTATGTGATGTAACTATATAACCTGAGCTTGTAAAAGCACCTTCATCACCTTCAGTGATTAAGTGCTTAATTGCACACTAGTTTCTCTATCAGCTATCTCACCCTGTCAGAGTAAATGAGACAAATGTATGTGAATGCATGTGTGTGTGTGTATGTATATGTATGTGTATAAAGTATGTATGGAAGCTGATCAGAATTACATTTCACCTTTGTAAATGCACACTAATGACACTATGTAAAAGACACATCTAACACTTTATGTAGGGCATACGTAAATCTGTGTATCTATGTATTTACGTATGTAGGTTAGCTTAGCATTTTAAAAGCACCGAATCACCTTCTGTGGTTGATTGTTCAATAAACCCTTGAACTATATGCTTAACACATCTCTAACCCTGTCCATGGAGGACAGAAGAAAATGTATATATGCTGGTTAGCATTGTAAATGTCTGGCCACGTCTGTGGTAGAAAATAATAATAATAAAAAAAAACTTTTGTGTGTGTGGGTGTGTGGGAACGTGAAAAAAAACGTGTGTGGAGTGTGGGGGAAAAAAAGTAGTAGTAGAAACAGTTGATTGACAGTCAAGAGGCGGGACCAAAGAGCCAAAGCTCAACCCCCGCAAGCACAAATAGGTGAGTACAACTAGGTGAGTACACACACACACACACACACACACACACACACACACACACACACACACACACACACACACACACACACACACACACACACACACACACACACAAACACACAAAATGGTCGATTTATTTCACATAAAGCTTTCTCGTGTTAGGCATTAAACAAGAATTGACAGCATAAAAAAAACTTAAGCTTGGAAAAAAAAACTTGGATATGCAACAGGTGATTACCCGCTTAGTGAGGCGCTGGTATTGGGTGTAGCGTTGATGACCCAGATGCAGCCCCCAGCCTCTCAAACAATCAGTCAATCAATCAATCAATCAGCTTGTGTTGGATGAGCTCCGGTGTTGTTTATTTAGCGCAAAGCTCCTCGCCTTTCACTGACTTTGTTCATCCCTTGACGTATCTCCCTCACCCCTTTTCTCTCTCACTTTCTCTCACTCTTACACACCCTCACTTTCTCTCTGTCTCTTCCTCTCTCACTCTGTTCCTGAGTTTTTCTCTGACTGTCCCCCCTTCTCTCTCTCTCTCTCTCTCTCTCTCTCTCTCTCTCTCTCTCTCTCTCTCTCTCTCTCTCTCTCTCTCTCTCTCTCTCTCTCTCTCTCTCTCTCTCACCCCCTCCTTAGCAGCTGGACAAAAACGGGTGTTGGGATAATCCCATAACCCGGTTACAGTTATTATTGTTTGCGATTGACTTGTCCCAGTGCGAGAGCCTCTGATTTATCCCTGACCTGGCAGATGGCTGCTGAGGGGGGGGGGAGGAGGGGAGGGGGGATAGGTCTACGGGTAGGTGGGGGGGAAGGGAGGGATAGGTCTACGGGTAGGGGGGGGGAAGGGAGGGATAGGTCTACGGGTGGGGTGAGAGAGATAGGGAATATCTTTTGCAAAAACAGCGTTTGCAATTTCAAGCATCCTTTCCACTTCTTATAGTGGGCACTTAAGTGCATCTCTCGACACTCTTCAGTTGTCTTATATGTCTTAACTCATCTGGTACACTTTTCTCTGGTGTGCCCCTTTGTAAGTGATAAGTACAAAGTACAAAGTCCAGTGGTACTCCGACCTCTCAGTGGGTTGTGTGGGGTTTGGGTTCCCCCTTGTTCTAGTCACTACAGCATCGACCCTTGTCTTCTGTAACCCACGACCTCTCAACACTTTGTAAGCTACAGTCACCCCCTTTCTTTCTTATGTCCTTATTCCGTTTTCTGTTTTCATGTTCTCTTTGTGGCCTTTCATGCTTTCTAATACTTTATTGTTTCTTATGTTGTAAGTTTAGGAAACTCCTGTCTTAATTCTTCCTTCGTGGTCTGACATTGTTACATTGTTCAACAGGTGTTCATTTCTTCGTGATTTGCACACTCAGCTATCCACACACCGGTGGCTGTGTGGATAGCACGCCGGTCACGTAATCCTGTGGCCCGGGTTCGATTCCCGGCGCCGGCGAGAAACAATGGGCAGAGTTTTTGTCACCCTAATGCACCTGTTACCTAGCAGTAAATAGGTACCTGGGAGTTTGACAGCTGTTACGGGCTGCTTCCCGGGTGTGAACAAAAAATAGTAGTGAGTAACAGTTGATTGATTGACAGTTGAGAGGCGGGCCGAAAGAGCAGAGCTCAACCCCTCGCAAGCACAACTAGGTGAACACACACACACACACACACACACACACATTTTTTTTTTCAGTGTCAGAGTAGTTAATAAATGGAATGCATTAGGCAGTGATGTGGTGGAGGCTGACTCCATACACAGTTTCAAATGTAGATATGATAGAGCCCAGTAGGCTCAGGAATCTGTACACCAGTTGACTGACAGTTGAGAGGCGGGACAAAAGAGCCAGAGCTCAACCCCCGCAAGCACGACTAGGTGAGTACAACTAGGTGAGTACACACACACACACACACACACACACACACACACACACACACACACACACACACACACACACACACACACACACACACACACACACATATATAATATATATATATATATATATATATATATATATATATATATATATATATATATATATATATTATATTTTTATATATAATATTATATAAAGTAATGATATATTTTTGGGTTGTCCCCTTGCATCGTTAGTGTGTTCCCCGCTGTTGGACCCTCGCGGTGATGAGCTCGGCGATGGTTATGTACTTGTTGGATAAAGAGAGGGGGGGGGTGTGCCCATATATCCAGGACCTCCTGTATCATCCCTCGCTCACAGTAAACACCAGCGAGGTCCTCCTCCTCCTC